AAAGAAAGAAAAGGACACTTGGAGGACGAGAAAAAGCTCGTGACAATTACCAGGAACAGCAGAAATGAAATCCCCACAGGACACTACGAAATAAAGTTGAGGACAAGTTCCAAAAAGCAGATGTAGGACATGAGACAGAGGCCAAAGGAAAGAGAAAGAACCAGGCAACCAACGTAGCCCAACATCCCACAACACAGATTCAAGGAGAAGCGCCCGAGTGAGGACACTCCCGGTACCAAGAACCTTGAATCGCAGGGGCCACTGACCGTGCAAGCTGGTCTCCAGAGCCCAGCCCCCATCTCCCCCAACTTCAGAGCACAGGGGCAAGAAGGCCCCCAAAATGTTCAGGAAAGGGGGAACAGATTCCACAGAAAGGACCCAAACTCAGAATGGCCTCAGATTTTTCAAGTGAAAGTGGGGAGAAAGCCAAGCACAGAAACCAACCAGAGAAAACACAGGCCCCTCACCTTCCAAATCCCTGGGAGGAACTCTCACCTCGAGCTCTATGCCCGCCCACCCACCAGTCGTTGGGGGTTAAGGGCACTTCCAGGGCCCAGGACAGCAGCCTTATGACAACACCCTCCCCCCACCTTCAGAGGCACTGCTCGGAAACACAGAAGAGAAAGACAGAGACAGACAAACACGGACACAGAGAGGATGAATATGAATATGGGGGTGGGGGTACTACCGGGGGTGCAGCCCACCAGGAAAGGGGACGACGGGCACAGAGAGGGTGGGAGGGCACACAGAAAATGCGTGTTCCTGTTTCTCGACTGCTCGAGTTCTCTGGATACGCCGGGCAGCCATTAAGAAGGCTGTGAAGCCCAAGGGCACGCCTTATAGGGGCGTTGGGAGCCACGGCCATTTTCCTGTAGGCCCAACAGCAGAATTTCACTTTACAAGTATATTGCTTCTGATGAAAATGAAAAGTGCACTCTGCAAGGTGTGGGGCACACGGCAGGCCACGCACCCCGCCACTGGAGCACCATCCCTCCTGTACCTTCAAACAGGGTCACGGGCAAAATGCCCGAACTTGCCAAGCTAGTGCTAAAATCAAAGGTGTTCGTTTTACTTTTCTGGGAGCTTGAATATTTTTTTTATCATGAAAAAGACTGGAAGACGTAGGTACAACAAAATTCACAAAAACTGGCCACCTCTGGGGACTCCAGCCATATCTATTTTGTTTGCTATCGCAGGACCATGCACTGCTGTGAAGAACAGGACACGGCACGGCAGAAACTGTAAGAACACAAATGTGGCAAAGGAATGAAACACAGACACGCAGACAGTGGCCAGATATCTGCAGGACGCTAGGGAGGCGGCTCTTCCCACCCAGAAACCCTAACTCTTAAGAGGTCCAGGCGCCTCCCATGCAGCCCCCCCACCTCCCACTGCCAGGCACCTGAGTCCCACAAAACACTAAGGGGCAGGAAAGACAGGAGGAGGAACAGGACAGAGCTTTCAGAAAAAAAGAAAAAATGAGACACCATCAGTAATTCAAACCCTTCGCTTTGGCAAAAACTACTGTTTAATGAACCTTTTAAAGATTATTCCTTAGAACCAAGTCTCTGATCACTAAACCATCGAGCCCCAACTGCCAGGACATAGAAGTTTTCGTCACCAATCAAAGCCCCCACCAGGCCGGGGTGAAGAGCCAGCATGGCAGTAACTGGATGGAACCCAAGTCCCCTGGAATTCAGAAGGGGTCTTCCCACCTGACTGCCAGAACAGAGGTCACAATGCTGTTACAGATGTGGCCCCTGAATGGAAGGCCCTAAGCAAGGAGCCAGCCACAGGCAGCTCCAAAATTCGGAAAACAAGCACCATCTAGTGGACAGCCACCAAGTGAAAGAGCCAGAACTGGGAACAAAAGAGCTCGTGGCTGGCAGACCCATCCCCCCCGCGTGGCTCCCCGGCGAAAGGCACCCAGAGGCACACAGGGCAGAGCGAAGCACTTACCCCAGAGGAGGACAACAGCAGCTCGGGGTGGTCGGGCACCACGAAGATGCGGCTCACAAACCTACAGGGCAAAAAGAAGCAAAGGGGGAGCCGAGTTCCAGGGAGCTGCCGTGACGTCTGCTCAGGCCATCTGTCATCTGAGAGAGATTCTCCCTCCAAACCCCTGACCCCCAACAAAAACTGCCATGGCTCCCATGGGTAGCTAGACAGCACTGAGCAAGCATGAGGAGCACACCGTGCCATTCTCCGGGCCCCAACAGCCATGACAACTCCCAAGCAGGAGCGGGCCCCAGCCACGCTACTGGAAAGATCCATGAACATCTGTGTTGCTCACTCCAGCTGCCTTGCTCACAGCCCAAGACCTTCCCTGCAGGTCCGTGACGACAGGGAGCCTCGGGCGGAGACCTGCCAGACAGAGCAGGGGCAGAGGGCGAGCAGAAACACTGGCTGGCGGACTGACTCAGACCTCCTGTCCTTTACCCCAGGGCAGCCCCGCACCCAGCGGTCCCCAGAAGCCCACCCGGGGTCCGCAGGCTATGAGCCAGCCTCTAGCCTCGCAAGGGGGGGCAGCCTTCCCTGCTTCTCTCCCAACGATAACGCGACCACTAGCTCACGGCTCCTGGGGATGCCCATGACTGGCTGGCCCAAGCAGTCCCCTGACGCAAGACAGCCATTACAGAGGCCGTGAGTCACCTCAATGACTCAAGAGGAAAGAAGGGAAACCGGTTTCCATAGATTTTACACGAGATTCTTAAGCACCTACTTTTACTCCTTATTCACTCACGGAAATACCTCCTGAGCGCCTACTACCTGCCAGGCAGTGCTGAGGGCTGGCGACAGCACTGGGCGCAGCCGCAAAGGCCCCCGTCCAGGGCGCCGGCAGGAGATGGGCCAGCGGAGGCCTCGGAAGAGCACCACCCAACATAAACACGGTGCCGGCCACGCCGTTTACGTTTCCAAGTGACCACGTTAAGAAACAGACACAGATGAAAATAACTGACACTCTTCTTCCTTAACTTCATTTATCCAGAATATCACCATCTAACGTACAACCTAAATTAAAAATTAGTAACACGCTGTTTTTACGGCTTTTTTTGTATGAAGTCTTCAACATCAGGTCTTGTACACGGCACATCTCAGTTCAGACTTCAGGGCTCAGGGCTCCTGTCCGGACAGTGCAAGCTAAGAGAAAAGCAGAGCAGGGCGGGACAAGGGGGGGCCTTCCTGAGAAGGCAGGTGGCATCTAGCCGGACACTGAAGAAGTGGAGGAGAGCACAGGGTCCTGTGGGGATAGCATGCCCATCAGTGAGAACAGCACGTGCAAAGGCCCTGAGACAGGAGTGTGCCGGGTGGTGGTGGGTGGGGAGCAGGAGACCCCAGTGAGAAACAGCAATGGAGAGAGGGCCACAGGGGGCTTACAGGTCATAAGTCTGGATGCTGGATTACTAGAGAGCTGAACCAAAGCCCCCATCAGCTGTCCGGAGCTACAAACTAGGCCACCAGCGACCTTCAGAGATCACTTTACATTCTGTTCAAAACCAAGGAAACAGGAGCAATCTCAAAATTAAATTAAGTCTCTCCAATATATTCCGCTGCCTCCAATAACGCAGCATTAAACATTTTAGCAAATGAAACGAAGGGCTTCTCCTGTCCTCTGCAATTAGCCTTGAGCCCAAGAAGCCCGAGAAGAGCAGTGTGTCTCAGAAACGCCTCCCTTGCAAAATACCAAAATTCAGTTACTGAAAGAGAGCTCACCTGCCAGAAAAGAGGTCATAAAGGAAGAACCACTGCCCAGGCTTGGAGGCAACATAAGTCCTGGACGTTCAAATTACCGAAGTATGTTCCCCCCGGCACACACGCCCTACCGGCCACTGACCACTGTAGACACTGACAAGCGTCTACGCTGAGGAAGGAGTGTTCCGGAAACAAGCCCTCACCTGGAGGCCAACATGGAAACCACTGGTGAGTGCTAACAGCAGGAGGCGGCGGGCTTAGAGGGAAGGCCCCTCACACTGAGCCCTACGCTGGCTCCCGTGGGCAGCACCACCACTACCGTGTGCGGCAACCACGCCCTGGGTGTCAGACCTCGGTGCCAACAAGAAAACCTCTCCCTGAAACCCATGGGTATGGGTATGGGTAGGGAAGGGGGAGGCAGAGGTCCTGACGGCCCCTGGGCAGAAGCCTGCACCAAATGGGGCCTCGCCGGGGAGCAGGCAGCCCTGGCTTCGCCACCGGCTGCCCAAGCTGAGCGGCCCACCCGTCCCTTGAGCCTGAGCTTCCTCCTGGGGGGCAGGAAGGGGACTCACTCTGTGTGCCCGAGGCAGAAGGACTCGATGCTGTGCGGCGCCGCGGCCCAGCTGACCCGGATCTTCTCGTCCCGGTCGGCGGTGAGGACATAGCAGTCGTCGGGACTCACAGCCTACACACGGGGGTTAGAAAGAACAGACCTGCTGGTGGGGGTGGCCAGAGCTGGCCCACCCACCCCACTGCCCCAGGACCTGTCCCCAGGTCTACACGGTACCACAATGGTGGTACCAGACACCTGTCTCAATGCAGCTCCGCCCTCCCACCACCCCACCCCTCGTTCTCCAGCACCTGCTCGCCTTCGTCTCCTTCCTCCTTCAAGTGTCCCCATGGCCAACCCATCACCAAGTCCCGGGGGGGTTGTCCTTCAAGAACCCCTCCCTCATTATCCCGGCCTCTCTCGCCGGGTCCCACCCCAGCTCCACCTCCCACTGGCTGCCCCCAGCCCTCACCGGGCCTCCTGGGGGAAACAGCTCCTGACTCAGGGGTTGGAAGGACACTGAGGTGAGGCCCGTAAAGCACGAGGACAAGCTTAGGCCTTGAGATGGTGTCTGCCCTTCCCACATGCCTCCTCTACCTCGTCACCCAAACCCAGGCTGTCCCTTACTTCCGGAACCACCCAGCCACCTCCTAAGTGGCCCATGGGCATTCACCCTGTCAGCCTCACCGTCCTGAATTCCATTCTCACAAACTCCTGCTCACAAATCTGCAGAGCTGTCCCTGCTACAGAACCCAAACCCCAACAGCTGGGCTCACATCCCCGGCCTCACTGCCCCATCAGACCCCCTGCCCCTGCCCCCAGCTGACTGTAGCAGACTTAAATTAGGCCCATCACCCACGTACCACATCCAACAACATCGACAGGTGCCCAAGCTCAAGCTTGCCGCATCCCTGTGGCTCCAGCACCGAAAAGGAATAAACATCCCCAGACTTGTCGGCCACCAAAAGCTTCTCCTCCGAGGCCGTGAAGGTCAGGGCCGTGCACCTCCTCACCACAGTCCTGGAAGGCAAGAGACGCCCACCATCGGCTTGCACAGGTCAGCACGAGATGGGCCGACAGACCTGCAGGCTGGCCCTTCTGCTGGTGTGTCGGCTCCACACCACCTGTCTCCCCTTCCAGTCACCAAAGGCAGTGCCAAAAAAATAAAGCAATTAAGAGAACAGAAACAAAGCCAGCGCCTTAGACCGATTTTACTTTGGATTAACTTTGCTTTTGTGACAGCAGAATCCGGGTGGTGGACCTCTAGGTGTCCAGCATGACATCTTCTCAAATTTGTTGTGCGTTTGAAGACTGTCATGATAAAATGCTGGGAGAACTGCCTCTTGACCCCAGCACCTCTACTGGGCATTCTGGGGAAAAAAACGGTCAGCTTCGTAAACACCCAGTGTGCTCTGATCAGAACCAGAAGCACACTCACCATGTAGGGCCCTCCTACCCCTGCAGCTTCCCGTCCACGACTGCGGAGTCCACGCCCCCGCCCGGGGCGGGCGGGGGGGGGGCCCTGCCGTGCGGGAATCCCACGTGCTGCTGGTGCACAACACCCCTGGGGATGGGGCGACACACCCGTCGGCAGGCGCGGCACTCGCCGTCCCTCTCCCTGGGATGACTCCGGAGGAGGGCGAGCCGCGGCCAACAGCATGCACTGCTGGGGACGTCTGTGTCCCGACTCCGGCTGCGTGACAGTCACCACACTCCTGAATTCAAACCCTCGGTCCAAATTCACAAGATCTGCCTCATCTGCCCGCTGGCTCCACACCGCGCCAGCCTAAGAAACAGTTACAGCTCCCGCCGCACACACACCTACTCCTCCAGGTCTCACTGCTGGTGGGGAGCGGGGACCATGCAGCTTCCCGCCACTGGTGCGCTCACCGTTCACCTCCTTGCCACCGGCATCTCTACAGCAGATCGCGCTTTCCACAAGGCAAGACCCTGCACTTTTCATCCCACGCTAGATACCACCACCCTGCTTCACACACGAACCCCAGGCTTGTCCACGTTACCTAACTCTGTGCCTCTCCCTGCCCTCCTCTGTCACCAGAGGGGTTAGAAGGGGACTCCCTTTCCAACAAGAGCCAGTCAGCGTCTGTGCACACGGCGCTTGGCCCCCTGCAGCTGGGGCCCCCCATGTTACAGTAAATAGGAACTAGAGCTTGAAGAAGCCACATCTCCAACACGAGGACCACACAAAGACCTCCCAGGTTCTCGGGAGCAGAGGGACAGAAGGAAAGAAAACACAGGGCAGAGGGCCTGCAGCCGCGTCCCAGGACTCCACCACCCACAGCAGCTGAACCTCCTCCTGCGCTTACCTGAGCCGGTGGACAGTGGACAGAAGGACAAGGAGGGACATAAACATAGAGAACACAACAGAAGAAAGAGCATGGGGCTGCGGGCAAGACTAACCAACTCTCCGAGCACACAGTCACTGAAATGCCACCATACGTTCAGACAGGCCCTCACACGGCCACGCGGCCACCAGTCCGGACAGTGGCCTGGGCCGGTCCCACAGGAGTATCGGGCGTGGACTCACACGAGCACCCGCCACTGCCCCCCCACCCTCCCAGCCCCAGCTCAGTCCAGAATCTTGTCCCTTTGCCTTCTGCCAGTGGAGGAACTTTCATCTTCTCGGGCCAAGTTAGTCCTGGCCAGGATTCTAGGACGCTGCTTGGCTGTACAGAGTAGGTGGGGGTGAGGGTCTGAGGGGTCAGGTCACAGACGTGGGCAGGCAGGTCATGAGACCGGACAGTGGGTGGGCTGGCCACTTTGCCCCATCAGAAGGCGTGGGCCTCACCATTCTTCGGGATCTCTGCACTCCCCCCCTCCCCCCAGAGTCACGGGGTTCACAGCCCAGCGTTCCCATCCTCATGCCCCCCAGGGCCAGCCTGACCCTCTCCCCTCTGCCACCGCCAAGCAGAGCACTGCTGGTCAGGTAGCCGAACCCTAAAATCCCCCCCCAAGCCCACCTCCAACGAGCCACACTTGTTCAACAAACTGAGTGTGGGGGGGCCCTGCAGGGCACCAAGGATGCCAAGCTCTCCAACACCACACACCTCCAGCAGCCAGGCAGCTTCGGGCAGAACAATCTCATTTCCTGGGGCTCTGCCTTTCCACATACTTGCATTATTTCAATTCAGGCATTTTCTGAACCGGTGTGATTTCCTATGTAAGATTTCTCACTAATAAACGCACACATCACAAGAGAAAATATCATGTCACCCCAAGTGTCCTACTTTTAGTTCAGAAAACCTGGCTTTGGTTCTGGGCCTTTGTCATTGTAAACCGAAACCTTGAAACCAATCATTGCTATGCACTATTTCCATCTGGGCTATTCCTTAAAATCCTCCATGATGAAGCATTAAAGCCACTGGAGAGCTCCGAGCTATGAGCAACTCTTGGTCAAATGTGGATATCGGGAGCCCAGGACACCCCCAACACTGAACTGAACGTCAGATGCATGAAGGATGGGTGTTTTTCTGAGGAAGGGGTCCATCTGTCTGTGCCTCCCGCCAAGTGTTAAAGGCCACTGGACCAGGCAGCAGCGCATCTTACGCTGAGGTCAGCATACATCCACAGGACAAGGCAACGTGAGAAAGGCAGCCCCTAGACCTGTAATGTGATCTGGCCCGACCCCTTCATTCAGTGGCTGACGCAGACGGGATGGGAGTTATCCAGGGTCCCGCAAGCAACATCTACACGCGCAACGTACCTCCCATAGGCAACACGAGGCCCTGCACACCTAACACAGAGGTTTCCAACACAAAGCTATTCTGCTGGTATCAATGTAAAAACCAAGACGAAAAATACAATTAAGCAGGGAAAAAAAGGCAAGTGCCAGCCACTGTTTGCTAAAGTATAACTGCCCACCGTGAGTGTTCTTAGATCTCTACCTGAAGACAATCGCCAACACGCTACCTTCAAAAGACAAAACAAACAAAACCACAGCATCTTCCCCTCAAACGCCCACAGACCACAGTGCAGAAGGAACCAGACACATACACATAGGACTCTGTGCCTAAACACCCATCCTGAGCCTTACACTCCAGAGGCCTTGCCCTGCATTCCCCAACAGCCTGACAGCCACAGGGACATGGTGACAGTCAAGAGAAGTCTAGATTCCTCCTTCCAGACCGTGCACAATGCCAGGAGCCCTCGGAGAACGGCCAGAGCCCCGCCAGGAGCCCTGGGCACTCGCCCTTCAGTCAAGGTGCAAGCTCCACCACAGGACGCAGGGGCCTGTTGGCAGGCTGTGTGGGTGTCCCCCTGTCCCAAGTTCAGGATGAAGGGCTACCCCTAAGCAGGGAGCACATACCAACATAGACTGCCACCTGCAATTTGCCTTTTTATTCTTCTCTTAGAAAATAAGATGCAAGAGGAATCCAAAAAGCATAGGTCTCCCCGATACAGGTGTGAGCCAGCTACGAAGTGAAATCCTTAACCTTGGCTGTTAGACAGTTAGACGTTAACATTATAACCTGCATGTATTTCTCTCTTACTCTCGAGGGACAGTTAAGCTGTGCAGCCTCAGGGAGGCAAAGATGAGGGGAAGGCTGACTCTGCTCCATGGGGGTGTTTCCATCCCGGTCACAGACATCATAATTCCAGCCCTCACCCGCTTGAGGAAATAAAGCACTTACTATCAGGACACTGTCCGAGTAAGACAAATTTACACCTACCCAGGGTCTGTATCAGCATCACCCACCTCCTCTCCTAAGCCTGCTGATTTTCTTCATTTCTGCCAGCACGAGGCTGGAGGAACACTGGAAAGCAGGATGGCATAGTGGCCAAGGGCACCGCCTCCGGAGCCAGAGTGACCAGGGCCAGGGGCCAGCTCTGCCCTCTGAGCTGACTGACCGGGATCAGCTTCCAGACTCCCAGCAGGGATGTGGGTGAGAACAACGTCCCGCCCCCTCACACAGGGTTGTTTCGAGGGTTCAGTCAGCTAACACCGTAAGGCCCTGACAACAGTGCCTGGCACATGGCTGAGACTACGTGTTAGTCGCTTGTTCACCACATCACTGTCACTGCTGCGGGCATGCAAGTGTAAGCTGTGCGTTGGTAAATAACATGGTAATTAGTCCACGTTAGCATTTCATACCTGACACTCAGACATTGCCATGGTTTTGTACGGAAAAGAATCAGACGCTTACTGTCATCAGTTAAAGCAAAATAGCTGCCAGACTTGGAGAAGGTGGACGCCAGAATCGTATCACTCCCCTTATCCGTGGGCTGCCCGTCCTCCCTGAGAAAGAAAAGGACAAGGATGACTAGGGATTGCCTGAGTAAACAAGGCTGCATTCCTCCAGGTTGGCCTTGTTCATTCATAACATGAGCAAAGATAGAGAATGGCATGAGGTTCATGTAGCCAGAATATAAACGCATTATTAAGCAGACAAGGGGAGGTTCAAAACAGCTCTAATTTTTTTTTTTTTTTAAAGATTTTATTTATTTATTTGAGACAGAGAGAATGAGAGACAGAGAGCATGAGAGGGAGGAGGGTCAGAGGGAGAAGCAGACTCCCTGCCGAGCAGGGAGCCCGATGCGGGACTCGATCCCGGGACTCCAGGATCATGACCTGAGCCGAAGGCAGTGGCTTAACCAACTGAGCCACCCAGGCGCCCCAACAGCTCTAATTTTTAAGGAATAAATCTAACTAAACAGAAAAATCTCTCAGCACACACACCTGAATCCAAAGAGCTGAGCCAGAAAGACCCTCAGAGATCACATGGCTCACTCTCTCACGGATATGAACGAATCAAAGACTAGAGTCAAGGATTAAATCATATTAAAACAAAACTGAACCGGGACGCCTAGGTGGCTCAGTCGTTAAGCGTCTGCCTTCAGCTCAGGTCATGATCCCAGAGTCCTGGGATCGAGTCCTGCATCGGGCTCCTTGCTCAGCGGGGAGCCTGCTTCTCCCTCTGCCTGCCTCTCTGCTTGCGCTCTCTCTCTCTGACAAATAAATAAATAAAAAATTTTTAAAAAAAAAAAAACAAAAAACTGAACCATAAGACCAATTCTACTAGAAAAAGGCACCATACAAAATTATCACACTCTGCTTTCCTTATCTTTCAATTAACTAAAGCTAACTTAAACGCATTTAAAGTTACATTGCATTATTTCAAGATGCCCACAAGAGTTAGTTACTGACAGAAACTGGAATTATTTAGAAAAATCCTACTATTCTTAACACCATATTTAAAGTTAGTTCCACGTTTCTTTGCTGAGGTCCTGGTTCCTCCACAGGACAGTATAAATAGAAACAAAGAATTCTGTGCAGAAGCAACTTACTCAATGACACAACAATTTACTTCTTAGGCTACCCTGTCCCATTTAGTCCAAGCATGATTAGGCCTGAAGAGGCTGCCCCATCATCTCACCCTTTATTCTCCTGTGACTTCTTTTCTGCAGTGCTGCAATCATACGTGAAGAGGACATCATCATCACTAAGGAAAAACAGAAAGATTTTAAAGGGAGCACTTCATGAACAAAAATGTGAGGTTTTTTTTCCTGGAGCACAAATATTCTCATACTCAATAAATTAAGGGTTTTATCCATGACAAGAAATTGTCTGGGTACAGTACTTCAGAGAAAGGCTAAGGAGCTTTAGTTGCTTAATCTTTTCAGATTTGCCATACACAACTGGCATGGTTCCGTACCAAATAATCTGTTAAGTAAAACAAATGAGAAAAACTCAACAGGAAGTAATACATGATTCTTTCACTCCCAAAAAAATCAACGCAAGATGGTTATGCTAGAAGAAATTATGTTCTGATGTTTTTTGGTGAGATTCCTGCATCTCAATTTAAAACTGCCACCACTTAAAAATGTCTCAACTACCCAAGAAAGCTCCCATGGCTGCCAAGCACCTGCCAGTACTGGAGTCAGACCCTAAGCTCTCTGCAGTTTATGCCCATCTCCTCCCTTCCAGTGCTTGGCAGAGACCAGATATCTTGTACAAACTCATAGCCTTTGAAGTAACTGCGCTCAGACTCTTTTCCCAAGGAACACTGTGGTGTTGGAAAGAGTAGTTCTCTCAGTCAGAAACTTTGCCACCACCATTCTATTTCCTCAAGAGGCACACAGAAGAATCATATTAAAAAAAAAAAAAAAATGATGGGGACGCCTGGGTGGCTCAGTCGGTGAAGCATCTGCCTTCAGCTCAGGTCATGATCCCAGGGTCCTGGGATGGAGTCCTGAGTGGGGCTCTTTGCTCAGTGGCGAGTCTGCTTCTCCCTCTCCTCCCTGCTCGTGCTCTCTCTCTCTCAACTAAATAAAAATGAATCTTAAAAAAATGATGGGTTTATTGCATTTGGTATGAATCAAATGTAATATCAAGTATAATAAACCCATGTCTCCCAGTGGCATGCGTTAGATACCATGAGCCTCTAAAAATAATCTGGAATATACCACAAGTTTGTGAGTAAATGTTTTGTGAAAACTAAATCTAACATTAAGTTGGATTTCTGAAACCCAGCTTTGAGCAAAGAGCAGAGCGTATTTACATTTGACAGACACATGGTCCGTTTCAAGTATGAATCCAACTACCGGGAAAGAAGTAAGGGGCCGAAACTGACCATGGGACAAGACTACTCGATCAACACTTATTGTTAAAAATCCAGGGTGTTGTGTGAGAAAGAGCATGAAATTGGGGAAAGCTAAAGCAGAACCGTGTGCAGGCGCACTGGGGGGAAGAGGGTAAGACCTAGAGCGAGGTGAGGCGAGGCGGGCGGGGGGGGGGGGGGCAGGCGCCACGTCCGGAGACGGAGTGCGCCCGGGACTCAGGCCCAACCCGGTCCCCGAGGGCAGGAGCCGCCTTCCTCCCGGCGCCCCAGAGCCGGGGTGGCCGCCGACCCAGAGACCGCGCGGTGGCCGGGGCCCGGCTCGCGTCTCCCCACGTGACCCGCCCGAAGCGTCCCGAAGCTCCCGACACCGATGCGGCCGAGAACGCGGGGTCCGCGGGCGCCAGCGAGGGGCGCGCCGGGGGCGGGTCTTGAGAGAAGGCGCGGGCACGCGGCCTCACCGAGGAGAAGGCGGCGGCTGGGCGCGCCGGGGGTCTCCCCAGGGCCTCGCGGCGCGAGGGATTGATTCTCCAGGCCCCGACGCGCGCCCGCAGCCTGGGCTCCCCGCTGCAGGCCCAACCCCCTCACCTGCTCTTAGTGGAGGTGGCCAGGAACCGACTGCCGCCCCGCACCACCAGCGCCTGCCCGCACAGCGCCAGCCCCGCGGAACTCGCCATGCGCCCGCCCGCCGCGCCTCCCCCCACGTGCGCCGCCGAGCCCCTCTTCCTGCCGGCGCCGCACAGTGACGTCACGCGCAGGCGCCGCGAGGTGGCGCCACTCGGCCCGCCCCCACGGTGGCCGAGGCCCCGGACATGCGCAGAAGGTGCTTTCCGCCTTCGCCGCCTTGGTGGCGTCTTCTCCGTAGGTGGTGGGTTTAGTGCGGTGGGAATATTCGCCCACGTGGGAACGCATGCTGAGCATTGCTCTTTTCCTCCACACTGGGCAGGGCCGCTTCTGGATCTTTCTCCGCTGCAGCTGGGCGACGTGGTCCTGCTGGTACCTGCTGGGCTCTTAGTAAGCGTTCCTGCAAGAGGTGGGTGGGGGTGAGCCTGCACCTGTCCGGGGTGGCTCAGAGTTCAGGCGCTGGAAGGGAGCCTCCGCAGCTTCCCCTCGGAGGTCAGCCCCAGGCGCCGCAAGTCTCTCCCACCGCCAGAGATAGCTCTTTGCCCGTGTTCTTTTGTTCATGGAGTTCGAACAAGGTGACTTCTCAAGACACGCCGCCCACACACCCCATCCTGTTCATCTAGTCACTTAAATCCCTCTGCTGCACGCCCCTTCTCTCCATCTCCGTGGCTTCCGCCACCATCCAAACCGCAGCAGTCCGCAGCTTTGCTGATCCCTGCAGCTGCCCTTGTCCCCCACCGATCTGCTTGCCACACCGAAGCCAGAGAGATCCTTGCAGAACACAGATCTGATCATTGCATCCCCCTGCTTAAAACCAACAGGTGACTTCTCGTTGCTTTCATGGCAAAGACCCAAGTCCTGATCATGCTCCAGCGAACCGCCTGTGGTCTGGCTCCCATCTACTCCGCAGCCTCTTTCATTCTCTGTGCTGTAGCCAGGACTGCCCTTCATTCACTGGCACAATGCACTTACCCCAGGGACTTAGCACATCCCATTGTTTCTGACTGAAATGCTCTCCCCGGCACCCTATCTATTTACTGTAACTAGTTAATTCCAGTCACTCGATTTCATTTCAGTGGCATCATCAGTCAGGGAAGCTTTCCCTGCCTTTCCATTATTTGTATTCACGTTTATTTGTTTAATGTCTCTCCAAGACTACAAATGCCTAATTTTGCAGGTTATGGTCATCCCAACTTGCAGCACAATACCTGGCAAGAAGTCAGTGCTCAATCAATATTTGCTAAGTACATGAATGGAACGAGTAACTGTCTTAAAGGAGCAGCTCCTGTTACAGAAGAGTGACCGCGTAGGAAACTTGGAGAATGCTGGCCCTGACCCCACCTCCTGTATGACTCAAGGATGAATTTATACCCAAAATCAAAGGCAGCTGCTGTATCCACGGAGGGGTTGCTGCTGGGCAGTAACCACAGTGGAAGCAGGAGACTTCCCAAGGTTTCTGAAAATGAATCTGTGAACATCTCTATTTGAGTAATCTAGCTGGCACAGTGGAAGTCCATATGCATGGTCTGGGGTGTTTTTCAGGCATGCCAGTGAGGTTACGGTTTCTCTCCTGGGCAGGATAGTGATACTAGGACCATAGAGATCCTAGGCAGGGGCCAGTCATCACTAGGCTTGTGAACAAATTCAACTTCCTTTACAGTCGTCATTTACATCTTAGAAAATACTCCATGACACACATTCTAACAGATAAAATTAACTATAATACACCTATTTGAACTGACCTTGAAGTTTGCCTTCGTGCTATAAGTTACAACCTAGAAAAGTAAGTACAATTTTTGAAAAACCGTGGAGACTGAATAACAGAGATTTAAGGGAATTCATGCATTATATCACAAGATGCGGAGCATGCATAAATGAAAACTTACAGAACTGTGCTTGATCATCAGACGTAAACACAGCCTAGTCATTCTGATCTTTTTGAGGTGATGAACCATGTGCCTCACGCTCTGAATTCTTACAGTACTTGTGCCAAAAAGATTTATTTGCCTAAAGATCTTTTTCTCAGCAAAGTCCAGGATAACCCAAGCCTTTTCTTTGTAATTTTAATCCAGTCTGAGTTGAAATGGTGTTAAGCTTATTTTTATTTTCACAATTTTCCCTTTTGTGGCCCCTCTGGTGCTACTTCAGTTCATCTTGTGTGGGCTATCAGATGTTAATGCAGGTCCATGAACGTGTTGTCTGAGGCCTCTTTACCCGTCATTACTCTTACATATATGTGTAAACTATTTCAGCATTAATATGATGTGTTGATATTTTACTATCTAATGTTCTTAGTATATTACCCCAAACCCACAACTCAAATTTCAGTTCTGTATAATTTGGGGGTTTTTTTAATTTGTTAATGTAGCTACTAAAGTTGTAACCAAGTTTTTACCTCTCTGAAATTTACAAAACGATGAGGGCATATTCATCGTTTACAGCTTGGATAAAATTGGAGAGCCCTTAGGTTTTGTCCCATTTCCCTTGGTGATTTTCTCGAAGGAGTCAGCTGTGTTGATAGTAGCTGTAGTTAGTAACTGTTTTAGTAACTGTATCCATTTTCTGTTGTCATAATAATACATAGTAAATACATAACAAGTACTATGTAACAACAAATTGTGTAGCCTAAAACAGTAATAATTTACTTAGCTCACAATTCTGCGGGTTGGCCATTTGGGCTGGTCTTAGTTGGCTGTCTTTGCTCATGTATCTGTGGCCTGCCACCTGGTTGGAAGAGAACTAGCCAGTCTAGGATGGCCTGGGACAACTTGTCTCCACTCCATGTCATCCTCCAGGAGGGTACTGGGGCTTACCCACGGGACTTGTGAGGTCCAGGTGTGGAACCAGTGTACTGTTTCTTCTGACACACCCTATTGGCCAACGCAAGACACAAGGGCAACAAGATCCAAAGGCGGGGGAAATAAACCCCCTCTTGGTGAAAGGAGCATCAAAGTTGCATTACAGAGGGCCTGGGTAAAGGGAGGGGTGGAGAATTGAGGCCATTTTTGTGGTCAAATCTACTACAATCCATCCTTTGGCCCCAATTATTCACATTTCTCCACCAAAAAAAACCCTCACTTCCTCCCAAGATACCCGGAAGTCTCACCCAATCCCAGTACCAGGCTCAAAGTGCAGGGTCTCATGATCTATACTAGGTTGAATGTGGCTCCTCAGGTGCAGTTCCTCTTGAGCCACAGATGGATAAACTAAAAATATCAATTATCTGCCCCCTACACAGCATACACTGGTCAAAGGGGAAAGGACCACCACAGTGAATACTTCCATTTGAAAAGGAAAAGAATGGGGGTCCCTGGGTGGCACAGTCGGTTAGGCGTCCGACTCTTGGTTTCGGCTCAGGTTGTGATCTCAGGGTGGTAGGATCGAGCCCCGCGTTGGACTCCACACTCAGCATGGAGTCTGCTTGGGATTCCCTCTCCCTCTCCCTCTGCCCCTCCAGCCTGTGCACGCACGCGCTCTCTCTCTAAAAAAAATAAATAGATCTTTAGAAGAAAAGAAAAAAGGAAGAATGGGTGCACAGAGCAATCAGTGGTGCAGAGCAATTCCTAAATCCATAGGGAGAATGTTCACAGGACCATAGGACAAGGGAGTGCTCCCCAATGAGGCTGAGTTCTGCCTGCTGGGAACATTCCCCAGGCTGTACCCCAGCGCGACTCTTACCTCTGCCCTCCTGGAGATCCCTCCTTTTCCAGCACCTCTTGCTACTCTGAAAAATGTGCCCTTTGAGCAACTCTTAAACTCTTACTGCCCTTAGCAAATTGGGAGCCCAGAGGCCTTTTTTCACTTTAAACTGTCCAGTCCCCTGAAGGTGGTACTTTGTTCATACAGTTCCCTTAAACACTTTGTGGAGATGTCAGCATCGTGGCTGAATAAGATACCCCTCGCCATGTCCCCCCACTCAACAGCAGTTCAGCATCCATCCACAGACAGAGTGCCTTTCTGGGAACTGTGGGATCCAGCCCCACACACGAAGGAACCCAGGCAGTCTCACCCACCCACGTGTCCGGTAATAGGCACACAGACTTTGGTCCCACCTGTGAAGCTTGCCGTGGCCTATGAAGTGGCTCCACCCCCTCTTGGCCATGCTCTGGGAGCCCCTGGAAAACACCATCTTAGACAATCCCCCCCCCAAAGGAAAGAGCTTTTGTGGAAGCCCAGGTTTCCAGCAGACAAATTCCAGCACATCGTTAGAACAACAAAAAAAATATATGAGTTTGGGTGCATTGGAGAGGGTAAGAGGAACAGTGTGACTTTACCCATATCATCCCTCCCCCAGGGCCTTACAGCTTAGCGTCAAGAGAGAGCTCCTTAGCCCAGGATTTCTCTCACAGGGGAAAGCGAGAGCATGTGAGTGAGCACCTGACTTCCCCAGCCATGTGAGATGCTGCCAAAAATACCTGTGTCTCTAGCGTCTTCCAGAGTATGGGTCATGAGTACTGGGGGCAGGAAGAGCTAGGAGAGCAGCAAATAGAACTCTCAGGGGCAAAAAAGGGACCCCAACACTCCCATCAAAAAGCCTGCCCATGAGCCACTAGGGACACCTTGCTCACAGATCCCCCAACTGGCCCACTGGCACCCCCAGCGCTCCATGCACCTCACCCCCACACACTCCCACACTGTGACCAGCTCCCTGTGTGCACTCCCAATGGCAGTAAAAGTGAGTTTCGGCAAACAGCTAGTGAGTACGCACAAATAATGGGCCCAAATCTGCAGGCCAGGGAGAGACCACAGCTTGAGCACCACCTTGGGGAAACAAAGGGGAGGCTGTCAGCACTCAACCTAGTTAATTGTGGGGTGGAGAGAAGGCACACAAGCTTAAGAATCAGCCACAAGAGGGAGCAAGAAATAAGGAGAAGGCACATCCACCCGAGGTCTGGGATCGCCCCAGAATCCCTAGCAGGGCTGAGGGAAGGTATTTCTCTCCCAAAGGCAGTTAGTAAAGTCCAAAGGAGGGGATGGCAACTTGAGATGTGAACACAGCAGCGCCAGACTTCAAGGAACATGCAAAATCAAAGAAACATGATGCCACCAAAGGATCATAAGAACCTTCTAGCAACCACCCCCAAAGACTTGGAGACCTGTGATTTACCTGATAATTCAAAATAGCTGTTTTCAG